ACATTTGCGAGAATCTTTGCTAGGAATCAACAACAAAATGAATGCTATGTAAGATTATACAGTAACCATAGTTTTGCAATTACTTTGAGCTACGCTAAGCAGAGTGGCGGATGCCCCGACTGGAGGGTGGGTAGCGACAGAAACAAATCCACTAAATATTTTCGTTAACATTTTTACTATCAATCTATAAATTACCAATCCACATTGAAGCTTACTACTTATAATAGCTGCTATTGTATTGCTATTCCATGTCCTAAGTTTTCTATAAACGATTGTACTTTTTAACTTGTACTTTACCAACCTACTACCTAGTTGGCAATCCTTATACAAGGTATTTGGTGCAGAGAAAGGTCTGGGCTTGTTGTATTAACCTTTGACATTGATAAGGTGTGCTCAAGAACATATTTCCAGACAATTTTATAAATAAATATGGTAACTCACACATGACCGATATATTTAGCATAAGGTTTGTAAAATTAAAACAAATAAATTTATGTATATATGGAGATAGGGGTAGAATTGACCCGATTTTATTTATTTTTACTCTATGTGTTTCATTTAAGATCTCACATATCATCACCAATATGTAGGGAGTAAAGTCAATTGGATGTTAGAAAATCCTGCTATGAGTTTAATGGAGCTTGTGCAAGTTTTCACATGATTTTATCCATTTAATTTGAAGAAGCATCGTTAGAGAGAAACACGCTCACTCAATTTAATTAAGATAACTCACATATTGGCCAATATATATGGCTTATAAAGTCAGTTCGAAAATCTTTATATTAGGTATATGTGGCCTATGGGAAGTATTGACCCGATTCAACCATTTTGACATACAGACATAATATTACAAGAAATGATTTTCCGAATTCCAATTATATATCTCTACATTAAGCAATAATTTTGGTAAAAGTCAACCAATGACACTGACTCCACATTTTCGGTATATGGGGCTTGAACAATTATGGACCGATTATGTTTAGCTTGGTTTTGACTTTGCATAAATTTGTTTGATTAGGTAGCATCGCCCTAGCATAGCAAGTAGAGAAATTTCGAATAAAAACAGAAATTAATAAAGGGTTATGATCCCCATGATAGAAATGAGAGGGAACTAGGTGTAACGATTCAAGTAAACGTGAGTCCGAGTTAAAGAAAGATTTAATGTGCAAGCACATCTTTATCAAATTACATATTAGGTGATCCTTAATATCCCTAAATTACGTATACATTATTTGTCGTTTTCCTAAATTAAATTATAAATCTTACAATCAGATCCAATCATGATACATCAGTATACGTGATCACAAATCGTCAGAACTAATCTTATATCATAATATAAATGACTATAGGTGCTCTAAGCATACAAACAAGCGCTGGTAAAGACAATCAGTTCGAAGAAAGCAATCATAGACACTATTAATAGCATGTCCAATCTATCTCTAAAGCGTCCGAATAAAGCATGAAGGAAGGAAAGATCGTTGTAGACAAGACTTGTAGCGAAGAGAGAACGTGAGCATAGCGAATTCAGCGAAACAATAAAACCACTTTTGTCAGCAGGTAGTCTCAACAACTTTCCCTCCTACACAACTCACCCGCTTCCCCAAAATCTTGCCGAAATCCATTAAATCCGCCTAAAAGCGCGCAATAAGCAAACTGAGTAGTTACGAGTGCACACACTTAGATGAGTGAAACGAGCGACTAGTTAAAGAGTTTCGCTGCTTTTGAGCGGAAACAATGAACGCAAATTACAGGCGGAAAGTGGAGAACGAAACAGAAAAACTAAACAACAACAAAAGCGGGCAGGTAAAGGAAATTGTTCGGTGCTGTCATTAAAGTCAGCCAAATGGATGATCACCAGCTGAGGAGTTGCTCAGCGCAAGCGGAAAGTGTTTTAGTGCACGAGTAGGCACGAGTTGGTGAAGAAATATGAAGCATTACTAAAATAAAAGTAAGTGAGATGTGGTGAAAGCATAAAATTGTGATAGTATTGGGGGATATGCGCTTTTTGGACCATAATGGCGAGAGGAGGGACAGAGATAAATGCCAATTTTCGTGTGTTGTGTTTATTGCTTTGCTCTTGGCAGACAACAAAATACCACATTTGTCGGCGTATTGGTTGCGGCGCTTCGAAGGCACTGATCCATTTTGATTTATGTGTCGAACGACGAAACAAATAAATGTTTGCGATTTGCGATTTTTGGTATTTCTTCGATTGTCTTTCTATGAGAAATGACTCCATGGCCACAGCAGACAAGAAGCATACACTACATACATACTCGTGCAGATATTATAGCATCACAAACAATAAAGATTATCTGGCAGTATTTCTACGACACTCTTTAGTCATCTCCGAATCTACTCAAGCCATAAACTTGTATGTGAAGATGTGTGTTGCTGCAAAAAGTAATAAAAACACCTAAATAACTGCAATCAAATAAGCTGAAGGCGAGACGCCTCACCAAGGTAACACAAAACTATAGGAGCGTCAATAATGGCTGTCTTGAGACATGTGGACGAAAATTAGAAACTGAGTCAGAGTTCTCATTCTGTTCGCAAGTCAATGAGCTGTAAGCATAAAAACCAGCATAGACCATAGCAACATCAATATATGCTTTATATATAAATATCTTAATGTGAACGTATATGTGAAAGTTGGCGACAAAACTGCTCTGTGCGTAGCACATTAACCTACCAGACTAACATAGCCTAACATAACCTTCTTCTTTCTTTTCTGAAAATGAATGTCGTGTGGTTTCCATTCAAACGTTGTTATCGAATTGTCATTACCGTTATTCCTTTTCGCCATTTCACTCTTCAGTTACTCTCTATTATTGGTATGTTGAATTAATTTACACGTCTTTGTTTTCAAGGAATAATGAATGAGGAAGGAGGCGTCATTTAGATCTTCTTTTACACTCTTTTAATGAACTTTCTCTTCCTTATGGTTCATAGGAATAAAAGATTGTTACATCGGGTGTAGCGTAAACAAAGCAAGCAGAAAGAAATCTAATACATTTGACAAAATAACCACAGCATATCTGGGTCATCTGAAGAGTTGCTTATATTCTCTTATGATTAAAAATTCCTCGAGGTGCAGCGTTCACAGATATGTTCAGTTCCATCGAAAATTATTATTATTTTTTTCGTAACATCCCTGATTAGAGACAGCGGTCATCAAGTTTGAAAGTTTTGGTTAAGCTTTAACTTAACGTTCTATATTAATATTGAGTTTGAACTCAACTAAACTTCATCAATATGGGCTTAGTTGACGCTTTATGCGTACGTTTTAAAAATGGTTTCGTGCAAGTGACGGCCGCGGCTGGCTCCAATAAATTTAGCCGAGAGGAATCCTGTTTTTCAATCACTTTTTGCAGCAATTGGGCCGTAGTTAGCTATAACGCGCTTAATATTCTCTTTGCAGAAGTCAATCATATCCAGCTTATATGCATAAATAACTGACTTCATAAACCCACAAAAAATATTCCAGCTTGGTGCTCATATGACCTAAAAAGAATTTAGGTAATGACTTACGATTAGTTGTTTCGACTTGTTAAGATACCGTATAATATTCATCTTCATGAGTTGGCAACAGCAGCATTTTGCCACCACAACAATTTTTTTTATTTACAATTAAAATTCTCTTTCATTCATTTCTTCGAAATACCAAAAACCTAATCTTGAGAAAAAATTGTCTGACAGCTATGATATTTGTACATGTGTCTATTAAGGATAAGGTATAATTAAAATCAAATCTACAGTTTTCAAAGAAGTGACCTTCTTAGTCTATTTGAAGACTTAAAACAATTATAAAATAAGAGGGTAAAATGTTTTAAGAATTTTTTAGCTGAGAATAAAAAAGTTTTGTTTCACTACAGCAAAAAATTATATAAATTACCAAAGAAAACAAAAAAAATTTATTAGAAGCTAGCAAAGCATATCAAAAATACTTATTTCATTCATACATGCTTCTTTTCCAATGAAAGCAAAGAATCGTTTGTCACATAATAGATTTTCTGCATACCGTTTGCTCATTAATCTGAAATGACACAGTTATTTTTAATCCAAATGAAAATGCAAAATTATTTACATCTCCCAGAGTAAGTCAACTTGTCAAGTGTCAAATAAACTTGTCCATTGCCACAAAGCACAGCAAATAAATAAAAAGTATAAAATTTATAACAAAGTAGGGGAAAAGGAACGTGCAAGATTCTGCCCGCTTTTCCTTGACATTCTTGTTTATTTGCCACCACTTGTTCCGGACCATTTCGATTTCAATTTCGCATCAACGTCAACCCAAGCGTTTCATTTGTGGTTGCTGTTGCTTTTGTTTTCGGTACTTTTATGCGCTCACTAATAACGGTAAAAATATTTACACCATTCTAAAACGAATTTGTATGCAGCATTTGCATGTCACCATAGGAAATGGTCAAATGAGTTCTGAAAGTCGCGCTACGGGGCGTATGAGCAACATGCAAAGTTTCACTTGGAGACCACAACGGCCCGGCTTTTGTCTCTACCGACGTATGGACTTTTGTATTTTAATACTGACAGCTGCTAAAGCATACTGCTGCAGTATATTGTTATTTGTGTGTGGGTGGCGTGAGATTAAGCATATAACAGGCAGCAGTGGGCTAAGTGGAGAGGGAAGTGAGGCCTTGTTGGTCGCTGCCAGCTGTTGTCCTGCAATATTTTTGTTTGAAATAAGCATTTACCAAGCTGCTTTATTGTACTCAAATGCTTAGATGTTTTGTTTTTTATATGCTTTGTGGGCGTTATTAATTTCCGTAGCATGTCACAAACTTGTTTTCATACCAGCAGTCGTGTTTTCGGCTGCCCTCATGCACTTTTACACTTCTCACATTTACATAGACAGCTGTTTGCGTTGTCTACACCAAGAAGTGGTGTTGTCTAACTTTTCGTATTGAAATATTTTACTTCGTATACTGAATATATGTGCTTGAACACACAATCTTTTGTATTCTAAAAAATGCACAGCTTACTTTTCGTTTCTTTTGTTTTTCTTTTTTCCACAAATTGACCTCTGAAAATCAATGAATTTCTGTGATTCAACACAATTTTACTTCTTCACTTATTCACTTTTCCAGCTTCCGTTGCTGACGTCTGACGCCGTTGACAGTTGCACGTTCACTGATAACACACAGCATCTTTCACACACAGCTGAACTCGCTGGCAGTCGGCTAGTGCGCCTAAATGCTGGCAATGCTTGGCACATTTGTGGTAGCAACAGCCGTTTGCCGAATGACCGGTGAATATCTGAGTAGTGTCTCGTAGATTGCGCACTGTGTTCCATGTGTGGGTGTGTGTGTGTATGTGTGTGGGTCTGTTGGATGTTTGGTTCTCATGAGATGCAACGCGTGGTTATCGCCTACAGCACGTATACGCGGTAGCAAGCATTACTTCGTTTTAGTCTCGTTCGTTCGGCGGCACTTTCTCAGCTGTGTTTAGTAAGCAGACGAGCTTGGTTCTCGCAGGATTTTGAACGACTTCCGGATGCTGTGCGTATAGGGAGCAAATGCGGGAGAAAGGCAGAGAATGTGAAAGAGAGTATGAAAGAGCTGCTGACGAGAGAATCAATCCACTCAGTCACAAATTGTGTTTAGCAACATGTTGCTGATTTTCATTAACATATGTACATATAAAAATATTTCAATATAATTGTAAGAATCATACCAGAACAGCAGAAATGGCTTAATAGATATTTATTGCACTTAGAACCTGAGCTTCTAGTTGAAAGTAAATATTTATAAAACCACCAATAAAAGTGTCTGATATGAGTAAGAGTGATTGAAGGGCACCTAGGTTAGGAGATAGATAGCTTATCCTTTGCATGGTGATCACACTTATACTGTTATGTACAGTTCTTTGTGAAGCTTGATGAAAAACGTTTGTGGTAAGATATCAGCTATCGGTAAACACTCTGAACCTGTCGCAATTCTGATTTATTTATATTTCCGATATTTTACCTGAATGTCTAAAAGTGTGATATACGAGGTGTCTTTGGCTTGATCTGGCAAAAGCGGGAAATTCGAAGAAGAAGATCCATCTCACAGTTCTCCAAACAGCTGATGCATCTGGTTGAAAACTTTGGAGAGACTCCCGGATCTGTACATTAGGAGTAGAGCCCTGAGGGTAAACTATTGAGGGCCTATCATGTCTATATCAAAGGCAGATCGGTCGACACTGCTTTGCACGATGTGGTGTAATGGCTAGAAGAATCTTTTATGCAAAAGCAATTTTTTGAAGGCCGCTTTCTCAACATCGAGGAGGCCTTCAACAATGTGTGACCGGAGGCTGTGAATAAAGCCCTCGGAAAGTTTGAGGTGTAATCGAAACTCAAGCAACTCATAAGTAGTCTTCTTTGCGAGAGAACCGTCGTAGCAGAGTAAGACATCCCGAAAGATCAAAAGAGTTTCCCTGCTGCTTTGGATCTTAATGGTTAACGACCTACTTAAAGAGTTCAAGGAGCGAGGCTGGGTGGCTTCTTCTCTGCTCACATGAGAAGTCTCTGGAGAAGAAGCGCAGTGACCTTTTTCACGGATGGGTTGAAGCTAGAAGGGAAGGTTGGATAAGGAGTTTTCTATAAGGATTCAATATAAGCTATAGGCTACCAGACCAGTGTAGTGTTTTTCAGGCAGAAGTGGCTGCTATCAAGGTGGCGGTAGACGTGCAGCTACGAAGTGCAACTTCTTTCAGGGAGGTGAGCATTCACACCGACAGCAGAGCGACAATACTAGCTCTTGTTCAGAGCTAGGCAAGGAATGTCTGTCCTTGCTAGAAATATCATCAAGCTACTTTACCATCAGACTCGTTTGTGTACCTGATCGCAGCGGAATCGATGGCAACTGCAAAGCCAATAAGCTAGTCATGGGTGGTACCCTTACCCCGCACACATTGGAATGGGACCGAGTTAGATCTCCATTGGCGTTTTGCGTTCTAGCACTAAATCAATGGACCTCGCGGGAGCTTTGCATGCGCTGGTCAAAGACCGGCTCCTGCGCGACATACTAAACTACTTGCCTTGAGCAAAGTTCATCTTGCCGCAACCGTAGTAGTGGCCTAATTGAGGACTAACTTCTCGCGTAACTTTGTACAACAAGTTCATCAGAAATTGCACCTTAGATTTTGTTTCTATACTCTAAAGAAATAAAAAACACCTAAACCAACACTGACTTTCCATTAAAGCCTTTCTAATACATAAAGTATTGGTGTTCAGTGTTTAACAGATAGATAAACTTAAAATTTAAGAAGTAAGGCAGTAACCGCACATTTTATACTCTCGCAGTTTGAAAAGATCAAAGACGGACTTTCAGGTCTTGCAAAACTTTATATTAAACAAGTAAGGAAGGGCTAAGTTCGGATGTAACCAAATATTTCATACTCTTGCATTTTGCAATGATAAAAGGGGGGAAGTACCTTCAGTTGTTGGAAAAACTTCATATTAAACAAGTAAGGAAAGGCTAAGTTTGAATGTAGCCGAACATTTTATACTCTCGCAAAATCAAATGGTATACTCGTTTGAGATATTGTTCTTGATTTGCAAAGTGGCAATCAGATGGAATTTAAAATGGTGTTTTATGGGAAATAGGCGTGGTTGTAATACGCCCACTGTATAATTTTGAGTGCGGTTCCTTTAAAGACATCTCATACCATCCCATAGATAAAATTTAATGTCTCTGAAGTATTTAGTGCTTTTTTATCGCGCTTTTAGTAGTTTTCAATAATACCGTTTTATGGGAAGTGGGCGGAGTTGCCACCCGATTTAACCAACTTTTACACTATCCATAGAGGTGCTAAGGTTTAGGAGATATGCACATTGAACCTATTAGGGGCAGGATCACGCCCACCAAATAACAGTCTTGTGTCTTATTGTGGAGCTTACTTATGTCAAGTTATTTGTTTTTGATTAATGGCGTTTTGTGGGCGTGGCGGTGGTCCGATTACGACCATATGCAATACAAACCGTCTAACGGTATCAAGAAACATGTCTACCAAGTTTCATAAAGATATCCAAATTTTTACTCAAGTTAGAGCTTGCACGGACGGACGGACAGACGGACGGACGGACAGACAGACGGACGGACGGACAGACGGACGGACGGACAGACAGTCACCCGGATTTCAACTCGTCTCTTCATCCTGATCATTTATATATATATAACCCTATATTTAACTCGATTAGTTTTAGGTGATACAAACAACCGTTAGGTGAACAAAACTATTATACTCTGTAGCAACAAGTTGCGAGAGTATAAAAATTATTTGACGAAATTCAATTATTATTAATATTAAATGGATTAAAAAAATAGTTTTGAAACTATGTTTTCCTTCCTGTCAGCGAAACTAATATTAAAATTGTCCTCAAATGAGATATATGTATTATGCATAGCATAAACCGAACTAGAGAGGCTAAATTTGATATTTGATGTGCAACGTCAACCAAAAATTTGGAATTGAGGTTATTACGGATAGGAGATTAAGACCAAGGTCTAGTCCAACTTCTCTCATGTTCATCGCTAAACCATTAACATAATAAAATTTATTAAAATAAAGAAAATTATTGTTGTATAATATAATTTCATATATTTTCGGCATTAAATTAAAGCATATCCAATATGTATTATGCGTTCAGTTAATATTCTATGATATGTTACATATTCACCGATATATATGGAATAAGACCAACCGGAAGTTTGAAATTGTTTTTATTAGATATGTATATGGGAGATAGGTGTAGTATTGTTCAAAATTTATATATTTTTGGCAACACTATATATTATTAACAGAAACAGATAACCTCTGAGTTTCATTAAGGTACCCCACATACCATCAACAATCCATATAAAAGATGTTGTTTTATGAATTATTGTATGATCCGATTTTGATTATTTTTCAGACTTGGGACGGTAGTTCTCAAAGTCACTATTTTCGCAAAGTTTTATCTCTATAGTGATAAAAGAGAGATATGTGATTTCCCCTAAGTGTGGGCGGTACCACTCCCATTGTCCAATTTTGTCATCGGATTCTATAAAGCATTCTCGTATCATCCCACATGTAAAATTCAACGTCTCTGATGAATATAGTTATTGATTTATCGCATTTTTGGAAGTTTTTAGCAAAGCCATTATAAGAAGAATGGGCGTGGTTATCATACCTTTTTTTTTTAAAGATTTTCAATCTCAAGTGCCCCTTTGAATGTGATTCTGTACCAAATTACAGTTTTGTATTTGAATTTGCTGCTTAGTTATGGCAATTTATAGGTTTTCGAAAAATGGCGTTTTGTAAGCGTGGCAGTGGTCCGACTACACCCATCTACGATACTAAACTTCTTACGGTGCCAGGAAATATGTGCGCTAAGGTTCATCTAGATATCTCAATTTTTACTCAATTTACAGCTTGCTTAAATTCAGAAGTAAGAGGTATTCAATCTGAAGATCTTAACGGCTAGTCAACCAGCGGCCCGCGTATTTACTAATTTTGCAAACAATCGACCACAAAAATTATAGATATACAATATTTCTTATCTATCGTATTCAATCGGTTAATTACAGTCGAAGTATTCCAACATTTCCATACCAACATATGATACACCCTGTACATGTTGGACCTCACACACTTGCGCTTGGTAAACTAGTAATTTCAACACTCGGTTTTGGACCGAAATGCAACGCTGCCATATTTGTTTTACTTCACTCCATTGATTAAGATAAAAATGCTTGTGGACATCATTGCCCATGTAAATAACCTAACGGTTGAAAGACTTCCGTTAAATGTAAATGGTATAAAGCAGTAAAGCGTTGTATCATTTATATATCATATATTTATGCATGTGTTTTCGGTGATGCAGCATGAAAAGAATAAATAAGTTGAAGGTGTCATAAATGCCACTGGTGAAGACTTTTTGTTCCCAAACAGTGATTTAATATATAAATGTATGTAAGTATGATTCACGATTTACTTAACCAATTCTACTAAATATTTTCAGCTTTTAGAGCTATACAAATATGATTATATTACAAGTTTTCGACCTATATTTTGACGTGAGAAATTTTCACTGAAAATTGGGATTTTTATTAGATGCACTTAAGTCAAAATAAATGAAAAAATAAGTATTTGATATCAAAAAAGTACA